AAATTCATCAATAGTAATTTGACCAAAAGTTGCAGATCTCAATGAAAAAGTGTTTTGTAATCTGAAGTTTGGACTCACATTCAAATATTTGCCTCACTGAGACATGATATTGCGATCCGGCTAAAAATTCTATACTTTCCGAATATTTAAGAAATATTTCTATCATACTTCTAAAGAATCAGTTTGTATTTTTTCCACAGAGAAAATATTTCATTTTCAGCTTCTTTGATACAATACTCCTTCATTTTCCAACAAAGCATGAGTTGTGTGAGTAAGAGCATGATGAGTTTCTTTCGTAAAATTCCCTGTAGTGCATCCCATGCTTTTCCAAACATCCAGCCAATTCAAAAATTTACTTAAGAACTTTTGCACGTTTTCATCATCGTCAGGCAAATTAGTTAATGGATTCATATTTTCATTTCTTAGCCATATTCCTTTATGGTTACTTTTTACATATATAATGCACCACCAAACATGAATTATTTTAATAACATTTTTACTTAACTTTTATTACTTTTACCTATTTCTTATTATATAAATAAAAGCATTTAAAATGCAACACTCGTGCTCTCTGCTTCGAAAGAAAAACCCCACATATATGTACTGCATCAATTACATAAAATAAGGGTCTGTCTGTTTTCACTGGATGAGGATAAACGATACTCAGTTTCGGTGGATTTGAGAAATAACACATAGCTTTACGATTGAGTGAATTATTGTCACTTACTACACAAACCACGAAAAATCCTATATTCTCTAATCCTATTTCAATCTTTTTAAGTATAAAGTGCAATATATCTGCTGTTATGGTTTTCACAGGTAAAATAAACATCTTTATACTGGGAGAGTAAGCTCTGGATCATAAAAATATAAGCATTTGTTGATGCATCCTTAGTGTTAAAAGAAGAGGCCAACAATATTACCTCCTCTGAAATCTAAATATGGTTTAATATGAATTTCATCCATGATTACAGAAACAATTCTTTCATGAGGTTGAAGTTCACACAAATTTCTCTCTCGCATAATGAAGGAAGTTTACTTCAAAGCATTAAATTGAGTACACATTTTTCTAACTGTTGCTGGATGAATAACTGAATATTTCCCGAATGTCGTAAAAACTTATATGCGTGTGGAGATATGGAATGCAATAAAGTTGAAAATATTAACATTTCTGGTGAGTATCCCCATTTAACTTTATTGACCAAGGAAAGTGAAACTTGTTTGGCCAAAAAATTAATAACAGTTTCTTCGACTTCATCATCCAGTTTAAGAACGCCCAATAATTCCAAAATTGTATCCAAAATTGACTGAATATCACTTTGAGCTACAGGTATTAACAGAAACTGTACAGCATCTAGTATTTCTTGGAGGTGTCTGATATCTCCAACTTTCACAGGAAAGTTATGTTCTTTGCATGATTTTATTGCAGCATTACCAATAAATGCTGAGACACTTAAATCATATTTAAGAACAACAGAGGCTTCAATAACTGGTGCTGCTTGAGTATTGATGTGAATAAATAATGTCTCATCTTCCTTTCTGATTATAGACCAAAATAGCGGGATTTGCAGAGTCTCTAAGCACTTTAAAAAGTTTGCATATGTTGAAAACATGTATTATGCTTCTTCTTCTGATTTTGTTTTCATGCTTTCCTGTAGAGCCAAATGCAGTTGCTGATTTTGTAATCGTACTTTTTTATCGTACGGAGATTCTTGAATCTGTTTCTGATAGGATAAATATTTTTTCCAGAGGATGGATCATATGCACTTGTCTCCATCTCAATATCTTCATCTTTGAAATGAAGTTCGCAAACTTTTGAAGCTTTTGTTAATTTAAAATTGCTCTGAGGTATTCTTTTTTAAAATTTCATTAGATGGAAAACTGTTGATTCTCACACGAGGACCATTATCATAATTTCCTTTGCATCCAGGAACAATACAACGTGAAGATATAATGCTGCTAACACAATTTCGCATGAAAATATTCAGAAACAAAAATGCATATTTAAAGCAATCAACTTGAAAAAGGAATGAATAATGCACAAATGTTATTAAAACTAATAAAATCTAAGCATCTAACAAGAGCATGTGAAGTATGTCTAACAGTAACAGTTAAGTATGTCTTGTTAAGAGGCAGATGGACAAAGAATACGGAGAAAGTTTCGGGAAGTATCATTAGGCGAGTTATTGCTGAGGGTCCTTTAACCGTGATGTCACAAGCCAGTTTCGATTCAGAGCGCAGGCCTTATCTATCTTGATGGTGACGCAAGGAGGGGAATCACTCCTGGCAGCTATTACTGGCTTGAGGTTCGTCAGCACCTTCTTCAGCCTCTTCATTGTCGTCATCGGGCAAGATTTGATCGTAGTGATGCAAAAACAAAGTTTACAGTTATAGAAAACATTTAGCAGAAATAATTAACGCAATAGAAGCACTCTAAGATTATGTGCTGTGCAGACATAGATGACAAAAGTTTTAAACTCAACCAATTTATTAACATATAATGGAAATAAAATACAGTAATAAATTTGATCAATACCAGAAACTTAAAGAGTGTAACATAATCATTGTCAAAAATTACACTTAGTTAACTATTCATTAACCCCAAGGGTTTTTCCTTTAAAGAATATTACACTATTAACAGTAAATATATATTACCTCTTCTATGAATACTGGCATTCAATGACTTGTGAAAAACATACCACAGAACAAAACTACGCAATTAATTTGAATTTCACTTGACTAAAAAGGTCTACGCTTTTGGTCAAGAAGGCAAATGAAAAATTAAATTAAACCTTGAATGTACTTGAATTTGTAAAATACCGCTCACTGCAGTTGCTCACGGGAAAACACAGCTTGGAAAAACATCACCGCTAGACGTGAAAAACACTGGTGCTAATAATGCCGCCTTCAGCAGTTGCTCACTCGAAACCACAACTTGAGATTTATCGCCGCTTAACCAGGGAACAAGATGCCGCCCACTGCAGTTGCTCACCGGAAATCACAACTTGAGATTCGTCAGCGCTTAACCTTGAAAACAGGATGCCGCCCACGGCAGTTGATCACCGGAACCACAACTTGGGATTCAACAGCGCTTAACCTTGGAAAAGCCAACACAGCCCAGAACCTTATCGCTGGACGACACGCATCGCAAGAACGTCTTTGAATGAGCACTGGAACAGCACACCAGGAGCAATGAAACAGGGAACAAGAAGGACTAAGCCAGAGCGATGCGAGATATTTATACACGAAGTAGACATGACGTCATCTCACGGCAGCCAATCAGCTGTCGGCATGACCCAACTATCCAGATGACGTAAGTTCGAGTTTCGTTTTTGCATCTTCATTAGGCTTGAACAGTCCGCTCTTAATACAAACAGTGGCAGTGTAAAACAAAGTAGAAATAATTGCTATATCCCTTTAAAATAAAAACTAAACCTCACGTAAAAATCAGAATTATTTCACGGAGGAGAGATGATGCAGAAAAAAGGTGTTACAATAGGTCATATTTTCAAAACGTAGAAAGCTTTGGCCTTTGTCCTGATCATATTAGTGTCCAAACTCACTGTCTTTTTCCTGCAATCCACAATGCCAGTGCAACTTCCATTTTCACAATTCTGTTATTACGTGGAGTTACCACACATTTCACTTCTTTATTGAAGGTTATTGAAGCAGTTTTGCAGATCTTTGCTTCCTCTTTCTCGATGTACCATGCTGTAGATTCATTCACCCTATAATGGCGTGCCACACATGCATAACTTCTGCCCTCTTTGATCACATCTAAAAGTTTCACTTTTTCTCTGATGGTCATCATCTTCTTCCTCTAGTGTGCCCCGGAGGAAGCTATTGCAGGGTCACAGCGCTTAGGTGGCATTAGGCAGCTTAATTAATAAAAAAAGTTATTGCTTAAACAAAAAAAGTTATCGCCAACACAACACTAAAATACAGTATGCGAGACAGTCAACATCATGGACAAGACTAGCCAGATACAACAAGAGAATATGCTAGGTGAGGCTGCGATGATTGGCAGACAATCAACTCACAGGGATAAATCCACTCGTACTCTCATTGGTCGATGTCGCAACGGAAACCAATCACGCGCCTTTATGAGAGCCTGTGGTATGTACTCTGAGTCAACTCATCTCCTTGTTTGACATGCAGGGATCCTTCTCTCTCGTGCATCAACATGAAACAATGCTCTTTCCACAATGTGGCTGCTGACATGGTTGTATTTTTTTTATTTACTATTTTTTGATGAATATTTTGGAAAAACCTGTGAAACACTGAAGCCGCAAAACATGAAGCGCGAAGTGGCGAAGGAACACATTGTACTTCTATTCTCAACAGAGATTATACGCTCATTATTGAGAAATTTTTTTGTATTTAATTTTAAGTATCCAAATTTAGAAGATTTTATGCTTTTGTTGATATCACAAAATGCAAATATTCTATATATCTTGTTGTGTTTTTAAGTTACAAGAGGTATAATAAATATCACCAAGTTTTGTCCAATTTCTTGGACTACGTTTTGAGTTATCACCAGTTTTCCGTTGGATGCTTAACTTTTTTTGGAAATCGGTATATTTCAGAGATAAATTACATAAATAGAACATTTAAAAAACTTAAGCTTATTTGAAATGTTGTTAATACCAATACCTGTTTTAAACATAAAAATTTTAATTATATAATTAAATTTAAATTTTATATATATTTTTTTAAATATAGTTACAGATAGTTTATTTGATTTTGATTTTTTAAAAATATACATGGTCATAAATACAAATCAAGTTTTTTCTTTCTGAAACAGCCTTAATGTTGGCTGCTTAATTTTTATTATTTTTTAACAATCTTATGCCCAATGAAAAAACATTTAAATGATAATCATAATAATAATAAGATACTGTAATGATAGCAGTACATTTATTCACTTCACCTAATAATCAACATGAATTCATTTGAAAAAAATTATTTCAATTTCTCTTACGGGGAAACAAGTAATGTAACTAAATAGTGTTATAATTTTCTACTTTATTCAAATTGATGGCAAAATATATATTTTACACTGCACAATCAATAACATGGAAAATCTGCTGCATCCTTTGGCCAACAGATTACTGAAAAAACAAATGCATTGTAAAATGCACAGAAAACATAACGATTTCCAATATTTTACTGCAAATCAGATAAAACTTATATTTTCCATATTACATATCCAAGTATTACAGTAAAATAAATTAAAGACATAAGGTTTTGAATTTATAACCTAGCTTTTCAAAACTCGGGCATTACACTGCTGTGACTGAAAAATCTAATAGATTTGTATTTACATCTTAATTTTTCAAGGTACAAATTTATTTTCCAAAAGCACAGATTAAATTTTCTATCAGAACATTAAAGAACATAATCAAAGAATACAAAAAAAAAAAAAAAAAAAAAAACCTAAAAGCATATATATCAAGCAAAATAATTAAAAGCACTTAAATATTAAACAACAATGCGAAACATATTTAAAAAAAGTATAACATTAAAAATTATAATTTAAATGCACATAATTGTAATTCTTTTATTCACACATAACATTACCTGCTGTATCTCCCTCTGCACTACGTCAGGTTTAAGCTTAACAACAAATCAATCTTATTAGAATTATTCAATATGAAAACATTTAACATGTTATTAAACATTTATACTTGAGCAATTTTTTTAGTTCTCATATTAATACATAAAGAAACATACTTTGAATAAAAACAAGTAAAAATTAATGTTTTAAAAAATTATTTGAAAGGCTGAAAAAAAATTTAACAAATTTCTTACAATGTAATTCTGAATACTGTTGTGAGGAAGAGTGTAAAGCTTTGAATTCTCATCCATATAATCACATCAAATAACTAAAATTGCATCTAATACATAAAAATTTTTAAAATGTAAAAAAAGAATTCTATTTAAAAAAACAATGTGAAATCTAATTTTATACTTTTCAGCTGCAAGAAATAAGGTAAACACTCAATTCACAAATTAATAAATTGAAGCATTTAACATTTTGAATAACTTACTTTCATAGAAAATTTCATTTCATGCAATACAGAGTAAAATAAATAAAAATGCTATCACTGAATATATTTAGAATGAAATGACATACTTATTTTCTTTAAGAATAAATACTTATTTTCCTTAATGTGGTTTTATACAGATATTCATCTGCACACTTACTGTAATATTATTTATAAAAAAAGATCAAACTAGTATTTTAGCCTTTAGATAAGTGCAGCTCAGTCATATGGCTTCTCAATTTAATGAAACTAAAAGTGCAACTAAATGTATCATATTTCTTAGTAATAAATGCTTTAACACAAAATGTTCATATTTGGAAATGAAAGAAAAAAAAATGTAAGAATGTTACAACAATTTGCTTGTTTCAGACTGTTTTAGCCGAAAGTAATAACCCCTAAACTAAAAGCAGAAAGCAGCTCCATTGAAAAAAATACTGTTATTAAAAGAATATGACTCCTTTTAGCTGCATGAAACTCAATTCTTTGCATAGGTACAGCTGCTAATAAAATTTCAATAACCCATAAGTATCTTTTCCTGTCCCATATGGATACTCGCAGTTAGATCAATGATAAATAAACTGGAAGTTCTACAGAATACCACAACTCAGAAGATAATTAATAGTAGGTGTATTTGGTATAATATCAGAATTTATGTGTTGTAAAAATTAGTAACCTTCTTATCAAAATTTACAAAAAATTCATAATAAAGCTGAAAATAATAACCATTAGATTTTTAGCACTTATGAATATAACTGGATTGAGAGCACTGCAGCATCCTGCATTTTGAAGAACCTAAATCCTCATATTCCAGCTTTGAAATGACCCTTATTAGTTTATTTAGCAATTTTTTTTAATACAGAACTTGCGAAAATTTGAAATATGGCCTATAAAGACACCCGATTGTTGTGTGATGAAAATTAATTGTTTACAACCTACAGAATAACTTACATTTGCTTGGCTCTCCATAGATCTCGCTTTTCTCAGCCTGCCTTTACAAGCATCTAGATCAAGTCTCTTATTTTCAAGGATTTTTCTTTCTTTCTGTCAAAAAAAAAAAAAAAAAAAAGGCTAAGATACATATTTAAGAAAACATTTTAAATATCTCAGCAGCAGTTAAATCTACTCACAGAATTATTTCTTCACCTTTTTTTTAACCTGTTTTATTCAGTAAAATAACCTAAAGTTAAATTGCTACTTTACTAATAAAACAGATATCTGCAAATGAAAATGTTAGCACAACACAGATATTACATGTAAGACATCTAATAATTATGGTAGCTCTAAAAGATATACTACAATTAAGAAATTAGACATAACTGGATACTGATAAGGTATTTGTTGGTTATCCGATATTCACCAATATAACTGGAATACTACAAGCATTCTACTGGCAATGAAATCTGGTTTCTTTAATTTCCAGCAGATGCAGTTTGGTAATTTCATTCAAAATGGCATCAAAAAGCTTGCTATTCTCTGTAGCTTATTTCAGCTTTGATATAAGTTCTAATAAGTAAAAAGACACATAATGATAAGTTGTGCTCTGTTGCTGTTTATTTCTCCATTTTGCTGATCCGCACCAGCATTCCTTTGTTTGCTTGCACCTCTCTTCAAATCAAAGTTAATATTGATATACAAAAAGAAGCCACCCGCACCCAGTCACCCCCAAAACAGGATTACCATGACAAAAAAAAAGAATCAAATCTCTCAACTTTATAGAAGAATCCAGAACATTTTACTTCTAGGCCAGCGAACACACAAAACAATCAAAATCATAGGTGAATAGTTTGGCGACATATCAGCAAATGTCAGATAACAAAGAAGTACCATTGGCAATACAACCAAAATTTTTCCAAAAATCTAGCCAATGAAACAGAAAACTACTTTATTTCTTTAAATCTAAAACATTGCTAATTCTAAGATGCACATTTCAACTTCAATCCACCACCACAGAAAAAGATATTTATTTTAAGAAAACAAAACCAATTAAAATATGGCTAGCAAAAATTTGTATAATAACTGCTTTTGATTCATTAACAATTAATTTCTAAATTAGAAATTTATTATTGCAGAATAATTAGTAATTAGAAAAAAATCGATGATTCTAAGATGCCCCAATTCCAAAGCACATCCCATTTTAATAAATTGAGCAAAAAGGTGCACCTTTAATTTAAAAAGGGGGGGGGAATAAAAATCACAACCCTGAGATCTATAACAAAGAAGCACTTTTGCATAACTGCTCATTTAATATTTTTTATATAAACCTAATTCTCTACATATCGTAATGTAACCCAAATAAAAATTTCAAACAAAAGAAAATAATTTTATGAATAAAAATAGTTTTAAAATTAAACTATACTAAAAATATTATTTTAACTAGAAATTAACTAGTCCTGTACACCGAATACTATCTAAAAGATTTTACTGAACTCTGTAGCTTGTCTCTAGTTGTCAAATAATCAAAATGATAAAAATTACACATAGCAAATTTTGAATCGGAACGCGTTTCAAATTCTGAATCAAATGAAAAGAAACTAATCATACAGTCATAAAAAATAACTGTATAATTGACATCAGTTTTGATACAATGGAATTATAAAGCACTGGCATATTTAGCCCTTTTCCATTATAAGAAGTGGAGTGGTTATATGGTAAAATTTTTTAAGCGCAAGATGTATAAGCATAGACACATATAATTTAAGACTGGCAAAGAGGGGATTCCTTTTAACCAGAAGCAAATGCTCCCAAAGAAGAAGTACCTACGTCAAAATCTAGGTCAAACTAAGGATGTTTTTTTACTTAATTTTAAATTTTACATTTGATTCGATACTCTCTTCAAATTTCATAAGAAATATATTTCTTAAGTAACTTATTTCAACAGACAAAGAACTGAAACAGAATGGCACATTTAAAACAATATTTTATTGACAACATTTACTTAGAAAACATGAACACTGTTATGAAAAAGACATATTTAATTTTAAAGTTGGGAATAAACAATAACGTTTACTAAGATCTGCTCAAATGGGTTTTCGTGTTTATTCCAATGTCTGCACATGAACTCGCATAACTAAGAATCAGAATACAACTACTATCATACTGCACTGTGCTTAGATTCTTCTACAAGAAACATAACAGAAAATATGGCCATGTTTTTTACACAAATAATTTTGATATGTTATATAACTTTGTATTTATTTATTATACTTCTTTAATTTATTTAATTATTTTCTCTAATAATTATATTTTCTTTTCTTTTCTCTTACATAAATATAATAAATTACCTTGATAGCAATGGCTATAAAATGGCTTTATAAATTATGGGCAATTTATAAACATGTTATTAATGTTTTCCAAACTTTTCTTAATCACCCTTCCCTTATACAAACAATTTTTTTCTAATGTAACTTTTATCTTTTTACATTTATATATGTATTGGGTTGTTGCAAATGAGAATAAAAAGAAGAGTAACTGTTTAATCCTCTATTAATAGTAGTCTATATAATTACTAGACTCCAGTGCCATCAATATAAATTTTATCAATATGTGGCAAAATCAATTGTATGATTCTGAAGTGACAAATTTCCCTACATTACTTACATTATTGAGTTGAATTTATTGTTTCCCTCTTCTGGAAGGAATGAATAGCAAATAGTACCTGCAGATGACCACCATATAGAAACATCTTGTTATCTTTGAAGAAGTTTGCATATGCTTTGAAAACTTTTGCAAACCTTTTTCCTTTGAAGACCAAGAAGTTCTAAATGAAATAGAGAAATTCTAGATGTCTTTCACTCCGGACCATAGTGATGAATTTTATGATATTATGATGTCAGAGAATACCTACTTTTTATCAACAGACACAATTCACTATAGAAACGTTTTCCATAAAAATCCTTCTTTATCACTTCATAGATGACAACAGCATACTTCCAAATGCTGTGCTTTATTTTATCACCAAGTTCATGAGTTCGCTTCTTAAGCATCCTTGCTTTTCTGTTATTGCCAACTGCAGGAAAACAGTTGAAAATTATATGTCTGGTGTTTGGGTGACCTCTCATGTAGTTTGTTGTGGATTTAATATGATTAATTTTTTTTTAATTTTTAATTTGTCTGAATCATTGAAGGAGACATACTGGCCACTGGGTGTATTTTTTAGAGCTTCAAATTTCCGAGTGAAATTTTACACATCAATTGTGAGTGAACTTCTCAATAACTGTTCTTTTGCAATGTATGACTGATGTTTTTTTACAGCAGTCATTTAAAAATTTTCAATTAGAACGTATAAAATATAACAATCTTAATTAACTAGGTTCCATGACCGACTTGATGTCAATATTATTCAATGCTAAATGTTTGTTGAAAAAAACAACAATTATTATAATTGCATCACTGTGTGATATTGTCTCATGACAAAAATTTCACACAAACCTAAATGCTTGCTGTCAGTAAACAGTAGAAATCTGACATTATTCAATTGCCATTTCATTCACAACAATCCAAATTTCATTCACAACACAAATGGTCCCCAATATTCTTTCTGATTTCAACATTTTATAAAGTAGTTTTCAACATTTTATGGACAAATTTATCTTTGTTAAACAGGTGATATTCCATCTGTTAGGCCCTGTGAATCATCATGAGAGGAACTTAATAGATTTTTAACACAATACACTTTGCTTTTTGTGCATTACAGCTGAGTTCTTTCCTTTTAGCATATGTTTTATAAATCACACTACATATGCTGCTCAGCAATAAAATGTTAAAAACAGAAAAGAACATTTAGAGACATTACATATGTACACTGCTAAAAAAAAAATGGGACAGTTTATATCTCCCATTCTACTGGGCCGATTGACAAAATTCAAATTGCATTTTTTATGTCTCAAAAGCGTGACTTAGGATATATATTAGATTTATATATAGCACTATTCTATTACAGGTATTTTGACACAAAATCGGACTTTTTCTGAAATAACATACCGATTTTTTTTTATATTTCGATTCTACGTCTCAAATTATGCCAGAATGCAACGTTTTGTAAAAACCATACAAGTAGTTTTTAAAATATTAGCTCTCAAAATTTAAGCTCCTCAATGTTAACTGAATTTGACAAATATTTATTAATATCTCCTTTTATATTAAACTTTTTTTTATTTTTCCTTTTACATTTCGAAATTTAAGTTCATTCCAAATAAAATTTACCCACTTTTGTGTTTTATTTTTTAAATTTCTATTCTTAAATAATTTTTATAAATTTTTTTAAAACAATTTTGAATTATAACTTATAAAATTTTTACCGTCATCTTAAAGTAGGCGTATTTCTAAGTATACCTGCAAAAAAATTAGACTTTTTTATTCAAAATTTTCTAAGATATACACGAATTTACATATTTTCACATTTTGAAATTTGGCATCTTTTTTTTGGAGCGATAATAACGTCAAATGTGGTTTATTAAAGTAGGTTGTGGATTACAGTCATACATTGTTACAGTGAATTGCCACAGCTATTTTTTACCTTAAATTAAAAAAAAAAAAAAAATTACGGAGAATTAATTATATGAAATTTTTTCCCCTCAATAATACATAATAAATATTTATGAATACTATGCGAAAAATTATTGTTTTTTAAATTATAGATGATATTATTCAAATTTTTAACTTTTTTAAAAAAATTTCTTGCTTTCTTCCTTTTTTTAAAAAAATATTTGTTAGAGTAAATTTTTATTTTCGGCGTTTTATCGTCTGCTACTTTACTTTAACTTCGTTTAAATCGAATTGTCTAAAACTGAGAACTTTCATTTGATGTTTATTTGAATTTTATGAAAATATTTTATGACATTAACTGCATAATTTATTTCTAAACAGGCTGTTGCTTATGAAGTGACTGAAAGAGCGGCTGATACTATCATCCATATTTTTAAAGCACAATAGAAACATAAGATTTAGAATAATTATTCTTATAAAAGTCAAATTATGATATAAACATAAACCCTCTAGAGATCTGAATTAATGGAAGTTTCAATGATTATGTAGAAATGAAC